TGTTTGGATATACATTTTTGTTTCCACAGTTTGTTGTATGCGTGTTTGATTGTGTTTATACGCAGGTAGGTGTTGAGGTTGAAGTCTTCGCAACAGATTCACGTTAACCCTGAAGCATTGATTTTCTGTCCTCCGAATCATTACTCTCAAAATGGATTGTTACTCCAAGCCAGAGGAAGAAAAGAGAAAGAAATTGGGGAAATCAGAAATTGGGGAGTCAGAGTCACGGTTTAGAAACGCATACTACCATACTGCAATTACTATTGCTGCAGTTTGCAGTAGTATATGCTCTGGAGATTTTCCGTATGCATTTAATGTCGGATGACATTTGTCTTTTCATTTCTGGTATGGATAACTGGAACATTTCTATATGCAGTATGTGCATTGTTAAATGTTACAAACTGTAGTATGCTACAGGTACACGGTCATCACATGAAATGACTATGTTGCATGTTTAAATTAGCATCTGATTAATTTAGCCAGATTATTTCACTATTTTACCAGTTTTATGCCAGATTTTGGTGGTTTGATCAAATAACAGTGCAGGCCCTTAAAGTCTAAATTCACCCTTTCACAAATTAAGGCCTTAGAAAGGTCTTAAATCAAAGTATTAAATTCATCCAAGTCATGGTATTAACTGTTGCATGCATTGCTAAAAATGAAATCTTCATATTTATGTCTTGTTTTCCAGTGCGAATATATAAACATCCTTAAATTAAGATACAGTTACTTAAAAAGCAAAATGAAGATTTGAAGTCTTGTTTTCTGATAATTTGAACAAAATTAAGCAAGATTATGCATAAAACAATAACTAATATCTGTCAATAGGGTATCAAAACTGGTTTTCCATTTGAATTAAGTTGATTTCACTGAGCCCACTGGCAAAAATTTGTTTGCGTTTTATTCATAAACTCAGTTCATTTTGATCGATTTCTCAGAAAACAAGACTCCTCAAAATCAATGTATCCTGAGAAGAATCTTTAGACATTTTTAATGGAAAACAGGACTTAAAAAAGCAAAATGAAGAACATTTTAAGCAATGCACTTTTTTTTTTTGGTAGAATAAATGAAAAAGTAATTGAGATCTGTTGGATGTTGTATTTTCAGACAAAGTTGATAATAGACATTTATTATTTATAGACTATATTGTGTTCTCTTCAATTTATTCCTTATATTTTCTTTACTTGGTCTGATAAATTTTACCTGCAGAAACCCTACAATAATGACCTAGAGAAAGAGACAAAATAAGAGCCGATGATATTGTTTTAGATTCAAAATATAAAGTTAAATGCATTGTGGAGTAGAGTAGTCCTTGAGGTTTGCATACTGTGTATTTTAGCAAAAGCAGTAAATCATTTCATGCATACAGAGAATTCACAATCTGTGAACAATATGCATACTGCAAAAATAGTATGGAAGTATGCCATTCCCAAAACATCCTTGTTCCGCTTATGCTGGGAAGACTAAATATTTCATCTCCGCTGGTTAAAGGGGGATGTCATTGACACACATACATGGCCTTGGGTCTGACATAGAGACAGAGAAAAGCAGAACCAGAAAGGGAGGACGAAGAAAGAGAGGAAGGGGGAGGTGGGGTGTAATTGAGGGTTGTTGGTGTGTTATCAGTGGTCAGCGACAGTCCTGTGAACATCCCCGAACATACGCCCGTCCGGCTCTCACCGGAAAAGTGCCTTTTTTTATTGCTTTGACAATAATGATTCCTGCCTGTTGCACGCATGAGTGTGTGTCGTACGTGTGCGAGTGTGTAGTCTCACCAGCCAGGAGCTATTTTTTGCAGCCATTAAATTCAGAAAGGTAAAAATAGCTGGAGTGTGCCAAAATGGAGGGAAGCCCTGGAGAATATGAAGGAACGGATGGATTTACAGCAGGAGAGAGAAGAAAAATGGAAGATGGGGAAGTGGAGGGGGAGGGATGAAGAGTATTAAAACCACTTTAGATGGGAAGAGAAGGAAAGGAAGTGAAGAACAAGAGATCATAACATATGACAAGGTTAGGACTTGCTCAGCTGAAAATGAAAATACTTGTATTGTTCACTCACCCTCATGTCGTTCCATACCCATATGCTGTAAAAAAAAAAAAAAAAAAAATTGGGGAAAATAAAGGGAGATATTTTGAAGAATGTATACCATGGGGATGTAAAAAATCTTGCCTGAACATATTTTCATGAATAAAATATTTTATTCATAAAAATAAAATGGTTAAAATTAGTTGTTTTAAATTTTATAAACAAATGTAGGCATCACAACAACATAATATGAAAAATAGTATAATATAGAGTAGTATAACATAAAAAAATGAATACTCATTTTGACATTTGCTAAAGATTTTTTTTTTAAATTCTAATAATTAACTTAAGAAATGAAGACAAAATAATATAGAGAAGAATATAGAATATTGTAACAATATGCGGTTGGTAAACCTAATGTAAACTGTTCGTTTTAGATCAAATGGCGGCTTTCAAAAGCTGTTTAAGAGGAGTTTAATAGCAGGATATTAGAGAGAGGTTGAGCCTCAGAGATGAGGGGGTTTTGTAAGGAGAGAGAAAAATTAAGAATGTAAGGAAGAGAAGAAAGAGGGTGAGCAGTGACCCAGAACGCAGCAGCTCTGTGCTGACACCTCACACACACGGCACTCTCAAATAGAAACAATTAGTCCAGATCTCTCTAACGGCCCTCAATTAAGGCTGAAGAGAGGGAAAGAGGGATGAAAACACCAGTGAAAGAGGGAGAGAGCGAGACGGGTGCAGAGAGAAGATCCAGACAATGTGTTGAGTGAAGAGGACAGTAAATCAATGTGTGTGTGCCAGAGAATGTGAGTTTGAGTGTTTACAGGCCTGTTCACACCAAGAGCTGCTCTAAACGTGACTGGAATGACTGGAGAACTATTCACACAGAGCGCGACATAAAATGTTGTCTGATTTGAACAAATTACAACCTAACATTAAATATACAAACAAATCTGACATAAAATATTGATTGTTTAAACGCAAAACTTGCAATACCAATTTACCTTGGTTTAACACAAAATACAACCCATCTGACAAAGATTTCACTCGTTTTAGCAGAACATTCGATTTGTCTGACAATAACATCTCTTGCAACGCAAAACATAACTTACAATATCACATTTTAGCATAAAAGAAGAAAAAGACCTGTTATAGTTCGTTCCTGGTGCTAACAGGCCTTATTTGTTGAGATCAACAGGTCTCATCGGATCAACTGGCGCGTTTACGTGACACTGTTTTCAACTAAATATCTAACTTTTTATGCGTTTTGGCCATTCATTTACACGACGACGGCATTTTGGTGGCTTGAAAACGATACAGTTAGCACCTCAGTGTAAAACGTTACTTTAGTGTCATTTTCGACTGTGAAACAATGGCCCGGGCCAGTGCTGCCACCTTGTGGAACAACTGATTAGTGCAAAAACTAGTCAATGTGACCTCTGCGTACAAAGTGCGACCACTGCATGTGCGACCTCTGCATACAAAGTACAAAAATCGGATTGTGCACGTACAGTACGTGCGCACTATTCTGATGACAAAATTTGCGTCACACTCATTGTACACCAACCCTCGCGTACACAAAAAAACCGAAGTATACTTTGGCCTTAAGTGTGCATATGCAGACAATTGTGCATGAAATCTGCATATTCACTAATAAATCATGACTTACCAATACATTTTATACTAAAATCGCAGTTATAAAGATAATAACACAGATGGCCGATATAATTGTAATTACTTTCAGAACGATTTTTTCCAGCTTATGAATGGTAAAAACATTGACAACCAATCAGAATCCACCTGACATTAAAGAACAATTAAAGAACATTTATAGCGACAGACAACAAAACTGCAGCATGCTTAAGATAAACTGAACATTATTAGTGTAGACGCCATTATATTTATCGTTGTACTTATCCTTATAGGTATCATTCTTAGTGTGAACAGGCCTTAGAAAGGGATAGTTCACCCAAAAATGCTGATTCTGTCATTTCCTCACTCTCAAGTTCCAAACATAGATGCCTCATTAGCGACTGTTTCTATGGGCCGCTATACGCAAGCCGTCCGCCATATTGGAAGGGTCAAAGGTATCATTCTTAGTGTGAACAGGCCTTAGAAAGGGATAGTTCACCCAAAAATGCTGATTCTGTCATTTCCTCACTCTCAAGTTCCAAACATAGATATGTATACGTAGATGCCTCATTAGCGACTGTTTCTATGGGCCGCTATACGCAAGCCGTCCGCCATATTGGAAGGGTCAACTTAACGCCATTCACCATAATAATCAATGAATATTCAAAGATGCCTCAATCCTGCACAGCCGATGGTCTTCGAACCCTTGAGTACCATGGCCGAGAGAGCTCAATGCGCTGCAACTTAGAAATCACGTGAAAATGGACAAAAACACCAGAAAATTAGTAAAACATCTTAGTCAGTTTGACAGTGCTACAAATACTTGCAATAACCAAATACAGAAACGAGCTGCAAAAACAGAAATGCGCTGCAAACACTATTTAAATCCTGGCTGTTTTTACAACCTTCGGCTGTGCAGGATTGTGGCATCTTCGAATATTCATTGACTATTATGGTGAATGACGTCAAGTTAACTGTTGATGGCGGACTACGTGCTTGGAGCGGTCAACTGAGGCATCTATGGTTCCAAACCTGTAGGACTTTTTCTTCTGTTGAACGCAAAAGATGTTATTTTGAATAATTGCCGGTAGCCATTGGCATTCCTTGAGGATCTTGGGTTTTTAGAGAGCGTTAACATTAAAAGCGTGCATATTTGTAAATCAGCTGCTGGAAAACAGAATATGTGCAGTGCGGTCTGAGGAATGGGGCCGATATCCCAAACTCAACACTAATCATATCTGCTGCCTACTAACGGTTTCTCCTTCTTGTGTTTCCTCTCGCTCTCAACTCTTACTTTCTGCACTTTACTGCTCTCTCTTTGTGTGTCATTTTCTTGGTGAAGGGAAGGAAAAATGGTGGTTCTCTCTCTCGCGATTGGATTGGCCGAACAGGACGACTTTGCCAATCTGCCAGACCTACAGGAAGTACCGCCCAGTCAAGAAACCCCCCCTGACAAGAGGTATCTGTCAGAGTGTGTGCATGTGTGTATTGAGAGGTGTATTATATATGTTTGACCAACCCACTGCAAGCGGTTGAGCACCCGCCAGAGAGCACGGCATTATGGGTAATACCCATCATAGCGTGGATTTGCTACCAGCTCGGGGCAGCAGTTAACAGACACAGCGGTGCGTTGTATTCTCGCCTGCTCTCTCTTTCAAGTCGTAATGAGAACCAGTAGTTTCTCTCAAGCTCAGTTCCAAAACGCTAGTGAGCCATCATGCTATCGACTGCCAACATGGGCAGCCAAATCTCATAAGAGAGTTATTTGTAGTGCACTTCATAGGCAGCAGCTCTGCATGGCAGGTGAACCTCACAAAAGAGCTCTACTCATGAGAACTGACTCTTATTTGACTGCGGTAAAGTTTAACATTAGCAAACATTAACTATTTCATTGATTCTTTTATTCTTTTGTTTGATGAAAGCATGCTACTACAAGCTAACAGCACAATACTCAGCATAAAAAACATAGTACAGACACGTTCGGAGTAAAAAAATTTAACTTGTATTTCAATGATTAGCAAACTACAGGAAAAATGGCACTTTCAATTGATTTTATCATAGCAAGGTTAGTATGTTGTCATGTTTACATTGTGCTACTCTAATAAGCCTTAAAAGTATGTTATACATACAAAAAATAGTCAGTAAAATAGTGAATCTTTTAGTTAGATTGAACTATTGTATCAGTTATTTCCAGTATCGATGCTCTATTTACAAGAATACTAAAATTGATTCTGTAAGAGTTTGATGATAAAATGCTACTAAGCTATCAATGCAATACTCAAATTAGCATAAAAATACATAGTACGGCTAAGTTTTGAATAAAATGGTGCATTTTAAACATATATTGCAGTAGTTTGATAGTGTTGCTAAACAGCGATACTCATGAGATCTACAGGAGAAATTACACTTTCAGTTGATTTTATTATAAGATGACGTTAGCATGTTGTTGTGTTTACATTAGTATTCTCTAATAAGCCTTAAAATATGTTTCTCATACAAATGAGTGAAATAGTTCAATCTAACTAAAAAGATTGACTATTTCATCAATTATTTTCAGTATTGACACAAAAACAGCTCCGTTTACAAGAATACTAAAATTGATTAATGATACTAAAAGAGTTAATGATAGCATGCTGCTAAGCTAACAACTCAATATTCAAATTAACATAAAAATACATATACGGACAAGTTCTGAATAAAATGGCGGCATTTTTAACTATTTATATTCCAATAGTTTGATGTTAGCATGTGACTAAATAATAATAATAATAATAATAATAATAATAATAATAATAATAATAATAATAATAATAATAATAATAATAATAATAATAATAATAATAATAATAATAATAATAATAATAATAATAATAATAATAATAATAATAATAATACGCAGGAGAACTACAGGAGAAACGGCACTTTCAGTTGATTTTATTATAGCATGACGTTAGCATGTTGTCATTTTACTTTTTTTGTTTTGTTTTATTGCGATACTCTTAATACGCCTTAAAAATATGTTGCACATACAAATGAGTAAAATAGTCTGTTTTTATTTGAGCAAATCATTTTTAATGATACTTTTAGTATTGATGCAAAACGCTCAATTTACTACAACAAAGTTTGATGATAACATGCTAATGGATTAATACTCAAATTAGCATAAAGATACATAGTACAGATTGATTTTGTGTACTTTAGTATAGTTTTTGCTGTTTATATTCAATATTTTCAATACGTAATTACATATCGTTGCCATCCACCATCTTAAAGTATTCACTCAAGTGCTTGTCACACTGTTTTCTTCGTGAAGGATGCAATGCTGCCTTAGATTTGTATCTAAACGAGGTTTCTTGCGGCTGTGTTATTTTCCACCTACCTTGTGGAACAGGGAACGCACCGGATGAATGATGTCTAAGTAGGCGTCTCGCTAAGTTTTGGAAGAGCGCTTCAGAATGGCTGATACTAAGTAAATGAACAAGCTGTACGTTCGGCTGTATGTCACTAATAAGTGCTGAGCTCATTAATCATGCTAATGAGCCTCACCTGAGGCTAACGGCTGTTTGAACGCCATTGGTGGCTGTGTGGGCCAGAGCTCAGCCAATGAGGTGTGAGATACAGTGACTTCCTTCACGCTGAGATGTGAACTGTTGTGATCTTGACTGCACGACGTGCACGTCTTGCGCGTGCCTTGTTTATTTCTGTTTTTGGCATTTTTATCCCTATTTGTTCTTCTTTCATCCTCTGACTTTACTGTCAGATCCTTTTATCTCTGCTCTCCTCGAACACGTCTCCCAAGTTCACTGTTTTTCTCTGGTCTTTTATGCTCTAGGTGTCTCATTAGTTTGGCTTTTCCCGCTCTGACGTATGTTTCTGAATGGAAACTACTGTGCAGTATGCAGCCTAAGTTGCATGTGAAACAGTGTGCATTATGAACCGATAAATATTTCAAATAGATTGCTGCATTGTCACATGACCTCACTGAATTCAATAAATTATTATTTACATAAATACGTACAGTATATATGCAAATTGTTTTTACATTTTTTACTTTAAATGTACTTGTAATTATAAATTAATGGTAAAAAACAGTTAACAAAATAACCATATTTACATTTAATATTTTGATAGGTATGTGCAAATAGATATGTATTAAAAACCAAAAGCAGAATATATATATATATATATAATACAATTATATAAAATAAAAAATAAAATATAAGTATTTATAATAAAAATATAATATATTTATAATTGTATAAAAAAAATATACATATAAGAATAAATTAACAAACATTAAATTTATTAACATTAAACATACATACATTTAATATAGTATAAGTACACATTTAAATATATAATAATAAGTATATATGTAAATAATTCATTTTTTGTTACATAATCTTTATTTCTATATGTTATAATTAATAGAATTAATTATTATAATTAATAATATTTTATATATGAAATATGTATTATATTATATATCTTTATTTTTATATATTATAAATATGTATTATAATATATGAAAACATTTTTGTTAAAGTTTACATATAACGTAAATAAAAAACATATGACAAAATAAATGTAAATATGGGTATTTTGTAAACTGGATCATTCAATATCAATATTCAGTATCAATTTCAATATTTTGTCTCAAGTTATGATTAAAAGTAAACTAAAAATCAGAATTGGTCAATTTAAGGAATTTTTAAGCGACATTAACCTGTGATTCTCTTTTTTGATTGTTTTTTTATCAGATTTTGAAAATGTAAAGCATTTTTTTTTTTTGCACAAAGTTTAAAATAATTGGATTAAAAATAATTAATAAATCTAATTTACAAATAACCATATTTACATGTATTATTTTAAATATTGTATTAATATTTCAAAAATAAGTATATGCAAATAAATGTGTATAAAAAATATACATCTAAATGGTTATTTTTAAAATCTGATTAATTTTTAATTCAATTTAGTTTTTTTGTTTTTTTTTCAAATTCTGATAAAAAATAAATTAAAAAGGGTTGATGTTGATGTGTGTGTGTGTGTGTGTGTGTGTGTGAGTGTATGTGTGTGTGCACCTTTGGTGAATTGCTCTGCGAGGGTTTTATATTATTTCGATTCATGCCTGTCACTTACATAAACATTCATTTATTAAAAAGCATTGCTCTCTAGATAACACACAGCACACAGTCTGCCTACACCTCTCCAGGGAAATCCTCTCTGGCTAACCAGCGATCATCGCACAATGCTTTTGCGCTGGATAATGGCAGTGAGTCACAGGCTGAATTAGTTTTTGATCATTTAGAGGGCCGACGAGTGATCGCAGCTAAATTATAGAACGCAGTCGTGAGTGTCTCTCTCTGTGTGCCTCACAAACAGCCGCTGTATGGCGTTATCGGTGTGATTTAGTGTGTTTGGTGGCGTGCCAGTGAGAGGAGGGAACTGACGCCGCGGTCCAGGCTAATTTACAGGCCTCTGACTGAAGTGGCGTAAGTCTCCTGAGACCGGCGCTGACACACACTCGGATGCCTCTTTAAACGCCAAGAAAAACATTAGGGGTCTCCCTGATCACCATTAATATTATACAGACTGATGCAGGACTTCATTATGATGGAAACACCTGTAGTTCCTGTGCTGCTAGCGCCTCCTCTGGTGAAGCCAAGTATTGTTGCTCTCAACTTAACAAAATACAATACACAGTACTGAGTACTGAGGAGAATATATATATATATTAGTGCTGTCAAACGATTAATCGCATACAAAATAAAAGTTTTTTTTTGCATAATATATGTGTGTGTGTCCATGTATATATTTAAGAAAAATATGTTAAGTTTATACATTTAAAATACTAATATATAATATCAATTATATGAATATAAATATATACATGGAAATATTTTCAATATATATACTGTATGTGTGTGTATTTATATATACATAATAAATATACACAGTATACACACATATACTGTATGTGTGTGTGTGTGTTTTAAATAATATATGTATTATCAATTATTAAAATAATTTAATATATATTTAATTATGTATATATATATATTAAATATGTATTTGAATACATATGAACAGTTATAATATATTAAGATATTACAATAAAACACATATTTGTATATATATTTAAAATATAAATTATTTTTATTAATAATATTATTAAGAATGATTAATTATATAAGTATGTTTTTATGTATTTTTAATTATTAAATTGATTATATATGTTAATATATAACTTCTTAATATTTTTTACATGCACCTTAATACATTATATTATATTATATCTAAAAATGAATAATATGTTTTGTAAAGTTTTACATATATACATACACACGTGTGTGTGTGTGTGTGTGTGTGTGTGTATATTACAATGGAATATACTATATATACACACAGAATATTTACAAATTAATATTTTATCTCTGTTTTCATTCAAGTATGTAA